CTATATGAGGCAAACAAAGATGTGGTAAACTTTTTTCCAAAGTTTGTCCGGTGAATAAAAATACCACCATTTGATGCAGAATTAAATTCTGAATCGAATGGACTAGGTTTTATGAACCGGATAAACTCTGGAAAAAAGTTTTTAGCTTACACACAGTTTCTTCGTGCTAGCTCCTTCGTGCTAGCTTCACACTGATAATATGATTTCATTATTTAAACATGTACTTGATCGACATCCACCACATTACGAAGATGTAACTAACAATTTTAATACTTGGTATAAATTGAAAACAGTAAGTTAATTTCAAATTTCCCTATAATTTATGAAGAATTTGTTGTCGTTGTTAAAGAAATTCTATTCAATATTTTTTCATATTTCTTTTCTTTCAGAAATTGCCATTATCATCGTTCGAATTAACAACAACAAAAGATGTAATCGATTTCTTGGATGACCATCAAGGAAGTGCAACAACAACGAATTTCTCTCGAGTAAGATTTCAATGTTTTTCGTAATTATAGATAGTTGAGATTGTCTCCTTGTTGTATGAGAATGGTATTGTAAAATATATGATATAACGAGCGGATGAAACGTAAGTGAGTTGTAGTATTTTCTGAAGCTATAAGGAATTGAATAGAACTAGGTTATAACCGCTGTTTACTTGTGAGTTGTTCGACTATGACTTATACAAAGACTCAGTGCGACTCATGAAAATGAACATTTGTGACCATATTTCATGGTAGTTGAAAGAGAAATCTCTTGTTTTTGGTATGAGAAAAGTATTAATATGTTATTTGCTGCACTCCAATCACAGAATGAAATGTTTTAGAACTCAAGATCCTCTGAGTATTAGTTATCAATAGACACATTTAGCGCTTTTTTGTATTCTTCTCATTCAAAAAAGTGAAATTGATATGCGAGCAGAGTCTTCAATAGACAATACAGTGACATTTGAGATTTCGTTAGAGAAAATTACGAATATAAGCTTTGGTTCAGGAGCATCGATAATTCATTGAAATATGTTCGATCATAGTTTGACCTACCAAAATGACTTGATCTTTGAAATATTTTCATAGTTATCATTCTGCCAGGAATGAATTTTGTTGCGATTTCTTTTAAAATCATTCACAGAATAGAGAGTAAAAACATAAATTTTCTATTTCTTTTTATTCATCAGAACATGTTCATTTGAAAACAAAAAGACATGACACTTGTCATGTAATAAATAGTATGATTCTTTCTCCTATATGAATGATAGTATAAGCTTATAGAACCGACGAAAAATTACTTTTCATTTTCGACACTTTCATTTTCAATTCAGTTAAGATCAAACTAATGATTTATTAAGAAAATGTACAGAAATATTAGGTGAAAGTTAAAGAAGAATAGAGATGGAGATTGAACATGTCTAAGAGAAAATTAAGAAAGAAAAGAACGAAGAAAGAGAGATATGAAATGTTGAATGAAGTGTTATTTGACCAATGGCACTCAACATAGAGATAGGTTAATGCTATGTTTTGATCAATAGAAAATAGGAGGAAGAAGAACATTGTCTGATGGCGTTGCAAACAATCCTCATAAGTTGCTCTTCGTTTTGCATCGAATTATATTAGTGTCATTTGACTTTCAAACAGTGAAAGAAATACAGAAATTGGCTGATTGATTTATTTAAAAAGGATCATGGCCGAAGACCTTGACTCATCTGTAACATCATCCGTAAGAATGTTTAGTTTTATTCATAATTAAAATGTCTGATGAGAAGTTGTTGATAAAGCACATAGACTTTGACGAAGATTTCGAAAGTATAAGGGTCTATGGAGATTTCTCGTATCCGTATTCGAAATCAAACAATCGAACTTGATTCCGTTAGATCGATATAAAGCTAACACGACAAAACAAAAGATTTATAAAAGAATTTTTTCTATAAAATGAGTACAGTTCATTCAATTCAGAATTAATGCTGCATCAGATGGTGATACTTTTATTCATGAGAGAACAATTGGAAAAATGTTTTATCTATATCTTTATTTTTCTTCTATACGTGTATTTATAGGAGAACAAAAAATATACATAAAATTTTCTCAATTCTTCTCGTTGAAATTATCTTTGTAATATGTACAATTTAAATGTGTACTTGCGCAGAATATTTGTTTCTTGAAGCTATTTTCCTTATGAGAAATAGAAATTTAAGAGAAAAATGATTTAGAGGGATGATGTGGATGAAGAAAGAACTTGTTTTGTAGACGCATGAATCGAAGTTGTAAAAGTTTCGCTCTTAGTAAGATGAAAATTTAAGCACTTTTCCCAGTAATTATAACACTGATCCACAGTTAAACGAATTGTACAGTAATCCAGATATGAATATTAGATGGCTGAATAATAATCAATTATACTTTTATCATTTTAGACTAACAACTTTGAAAAAGCTTGGAAATACATGGAAGTATCAAATGAATTACATGCAAAAATAAATAAAAAAATATTAAATTTTAAGAACAAAGAAATCGATGAAATGACATTGAAGGCAAATATCAACAGCTTACAAAAACAATTTATGGACATTTTCAAGAATATTTGAGATTTGCTCGCATGATCTTTCTTTCTTATAATGCTATTCGATTTCAATCACCAACATAACTTGTATTGTCTAAAAACTAAGAGTTTTTTGTTCATAAGATTATTTACATAAAAAAATTGCTCGATCATCGTATCAACATGTTCATAGTACGATGGTAAACATAAATATCTTTGCAAAGAAACTCTATCTAAACTATTTATTTATTCCTTACCATTTATTAAATTTCATGAGTGATGTATGTTGTGCAAGAGAATATTATGGATGAAATGACTGTATGTTCAAAATAGACATTTTCAACTTATGACAAATAGAGAATCATTCTGATTGAGAGAATGCAAAAAAATCATATTTTCAATACGAACTACATAATTAATACGTTTGTTGATTTTCCTCCTTCATCAGCACTTTATTTTCTGTCAAAAATTTCAAATATCTGCTTTTATTCTTCATTTTTCAATACAACAATTGTATTGGATTCAATTTTGCTATCGGCTAAAAGTTTTTGCAATGCCACTTGTCTATCATGATCAACTTCCATCGATTGTTGTTGCTGTTGGTGGTGTGAATTTGATTTCTTTTTCTTGTTCTTAAATAGAACTTGAGATGTTATTGTTGTTGCATTCTGATTGATCGATTTTGCATTTATTTGTAGTAATTGTTCTATACAATAATTCACCAAATATTTTTTACACTGTCGAATACTTCCACCAACATGAAGTGTCTGAATCGAACAATCGACCGGATCATTTGTTAATCGTGAAACAAATGCTGCTGCGGTTTGTA